CCCGCCTCTGCCCCCACCCTGCGCGGCGCAGCCGGGCCTCCACCCACCGCCGCCCCCCGACGGCCGGCCACGCGCTGGGGGAGGCCAGGGACTGGCGGATCGCGAGGAGTGGTGGACGGTGCGGGGGCGTGGGGGGCACCGGCCGCGCCCCACCGGGGTCGTCCCCTCCTTCCGCCCTCCCACGCTCAGCCACAGCGTGGTCCCCCTCCTCTCCACTCTCTCAGAGCACAGCCTGGGGAGTCCCACTCTCTGTGTCCCCCTACACACACTTCCCACTTCGCTCAGAGGACTGCGGGGGCATCTAACCGCCTCTCCACTAGCTCAAAGCGCAGCGGGGAGGGGCACTCCCACCCTCCAGTCCCCTCAACCTTTTACTGGGTTGCGGGGGGTAGGGTGCTCGCACACCCTTCTTCGCTGAGAGCTCAGCAGGGAGGTACTCAAAGAATAGGAGGGAATTCCTCCTTTTCACTATCTGGGAGCACGGAGGAGGGGTTCTCCTACCCTCCGCCCCCCGTTAGTGGATAGGGGTTTCCCACTCTCCTCTTCATCTCAGCGCAGCAGAGGGGGGATTCCCGCGCTCCTCCTCACTATCACAGAGGGCAGGGAGACTTCTCTGCAGGGGGCGGAAAGGCGCTGGGACGCGAGGAGTCCCCTTGGCAGAAAACAGCCCCAAATACGAAATGGAGGAGTGAGGCGGGTGTGATTGAAGGCTGTACCCCCGCCACGTCCTCGGGCAGGCAGCCTCACTCTCGCCCTGCACTTTCGGCTTAAGTCTCACTTTGGGGATGCCCGCTGGGCCAAGGTTTTCCGTGTCGGAGGTTTAGGGGGCGCCCTCTGGCCGGTCATGTTCCCCTCCGAGCCCCCGAGCCCCTTCTGCCTGGGCGGACGGCAGCGAGGGCGCGCCGGGAGAGTGTGGCTGCGCGCCGGTGCGGGCGGGGTTGGCTCTGGGATTCTCGCCCTCCATGCCACCTTGGGGGACTGGGCGCGGGAGGCGCCAGAGACCGGGCTGGAACCTCGAGGGAGCAGACGCGCGCGGGTGCAGTGTCCGCTCCTGACGCGCCTGGGAGTCCAGACCACTGACCCCTGCCCTGCGGGATAGGGGATCGCATCGGATCTCTTCCAAGAAGCCCGCCCTTCTGGAAGTTTCCTCCTATTAGAATCCCCGCAAATCCCACCTCCTCCCAAAGCCTAAGGAATCCGAGGCACAGAAACCCTCCCTTCTCATGACGCCAGGAAACGGCCCAGGGGGTCGTCCCTAGGCACTTTGTTGTCTCTTCCAGTGGACGACCAGCGCTCAGGACTCTGAGCCCTGGCATCGTGTAACACCTTGGAAGCTTTCTCGAACTGCTCCGCTGCCCGCCAAGGGTGTCCTGCCCCACCCCCACCCAGGCGGGGACATGTGAGCTGGACAGCTGTGTGCCCCGTGACTGCAGGACCCAGGCCATGCATGGAGACCAGGACCCAGGCCACGCAGGGAGAGGGGACCCGGAGCCTGGCAGGGGTTTTATTTTTAGCAGCAGTTAATGCCTGCTCTGCGCAGAGTGTAGGGGCCAGAGAAAGGGACGGCTCTGCCACTCTCTGCGGGAGATCTTGGCTGGGCGGGGGGTGGGGGGTTGCTGGGTTATGAGGCGTGTTTCGGACACTGGATCCTTGGCAGGGGGTCCTGCCCCGCCAGACTCCACCTGGTCCTTGGCCTTCCCTCCTGCCCGAGACCTGGAGTGGTGGAGAAAGGGGAGGAAGCAGTGGGTGGGAGAAGTCTCTCTCTGACTGTCTCCTGTTGGTCCCAGGGCAGATACCCTGCCGCCCTAGCCGGAGAATGAAACTCTCTTCTAGGTCTGGTTAGTTGTCTGCCCTCCCCTTTAACACCACCCTGGACTGTAGACTGTAACCCGGGTAATTCCAATCTCAGCCTTTCCCGTGGTTCAAACCCACCCATTGGGCTCGGTTCTTTCTTTTGGACTGGAGATTTTAGATTTTCGGTGGTTCTGAGAGCAAGCTGCAGTGACAGCACTGATGGATCGGACTTGTAAATGTTCAGAACCCGACCCCTCCTGAGGAAATGCAGTTGAGTGGGGAGTTGGACACAGCCTCTGTTGTGTGGATTCTCTCTTTCTCCCGCTCTGCCCAAGATTTTTCTGGATAGGGCAGAGTTGCGTATTTCCAGTCTTTTCCTGTGGGAGCAACATACTAATTATTCATCTTCTCTCCAATTCTTGCTGTTTCTTCACCCTGTGTATTGATAAACGTCTGCCTTCACCCACTCAAGAAGAAAGAAAAAGTAAATAATCTGTAATTTAGGTTTATGGGAAAAAAAATTGAAAGACTTGTGAGGGAAAAGTAAATGTTTAATCAATTATTTTCTCCTTCTTTCTAGTGGGGAAGTGGGGTATCTTTAACAACCAGTATCTATACTTCATATATTCTGTGTATGGTAAGGGGGGTTGTTATAAGACTTTTAGGAGATTTTGTAAAATACCATTGGCAAATTTAATGAAAGAGACTGCACTTGACCCTTAGGACATTTTTTGATCAGTCATTCTTTCATTAATTCATTCAACAAATATTTATTTTGTGCCTACCATGTGCCAGATGTTCAGGAAAAAAAGAAAAGGATCTGGGACCCTCGTAGGAATTTCCAATGTACTTTGAAAAGTAGGTCTACAAAAAACGTGCAAAAAATCAACATTTATCCCCAGCTCCCCTCTACAATTTAATAGACAAAGGTCGTGGAAGAAAGATAACATAAAAATCAAGGATATGTCAGGCTTCCCTGAGGTTTTGTTGAGTTTTTAGTTTTGTTTTAGTTTTGATGCTTATTTTTATGGAGACCTGTCGTTGGTTTATGTTTAATACAAAATAAAATGTGAACCAGTAAAATCATTATAGTTATTCTATCAGCGTTTTAGAGTCGGTTGTACCAAGTGTGCCTTTTAAAAAGTTCACAGCAGTTTCTATTTTGAAAGAAAAAAAGAAAAGAAAAAAACCAAAATAGTAACCCAGAAGCAGCGTGAAGCGGAAGGAGAAACGCTCTTCAGTTCAAAGCCAGGAGCGTGGAAAATAGACACATACAACTGAGGGGGCCCCAAGGAGTCCCCTAGTTCATCTCTGCACCTTTGGGTAGCAGGGCTGCCACGCCACGGGGAAGGCATGGAGAGCAGAGGCCTTCTCCCAGAAATTTACTCCGTATCAGTTTATTTGTGACCAAATGCACAAAGAAACCAACTGTGGAAGCTCTAACTGGGCCTGAGGGAGTGAAAAACGAAGCAGCAGCATTAGGAAGGAGAATTCGTTTCTCCTGCAACACTAGAGGGCAGCCCTCCATCCTCGGAACCAGCCCACAGGACAGGCGTTATTGGCATGTGACTTGTGCTGTGGCACAGGGCCCCACACTTGGTTTAAGCTTCTGATGTCACCATCTTCAAATTCTCGATAATTTTTGAACGAGGAATCACGCATTTTCATTTTGTCCTGCAAATCAGAGAGCCGGTTCCTGCTAGCTTGTGACACTGAACACTGCTCCCATGTCTGCCTGCGTGCAGAGCCTACCGGGTGCAGGCTTGAGGACAAGCGGGCAGGCTCCTCTGCCTGGCCTGGCTACTGCAGGGCACCTCTACCCTCCTAATCTGGTCATTTTTCAGACATGCTATGACATAGCTGCACGATTATAAATCTGTTAAGTCATCATGTTGCAGGACAGGTTTTTGATTCAATGGCTTTTGCTTTAAAAATAACCCATCTTCCAGTTTCTTTTCCATCTCCAGTTAGATTAGCTCAGTCAATAAGGACGCTGTAGTGCTCCTCCCAATGTCACAGCGCTGTGATTGATTAAATAAAGGCAGGCGAGCAAACCGTGCCAAGGACAGACACATGTGCCAACCCGGAGCATATTGTAGAGCTGAGCACAGAGTATTTCCCTGTGTATTCGTTTTTCTCTCTGGCAAATACGTCACTAAAATTTATGTAATAAAGTATGAACAGTATGTCAACAGATTCGTTATCACCATGAAATATGTTTTGTGTACCCAGATATTTACGTTTTTATTGAACCGGATTCTGTGAATACAGAAACCACACAACCAAAGCCAGCTTATGGCTCCTAGAAGTCTCATTAACTCTTTCAGCTTGCTAAGGAACTCTTTTGAAGTTCAATTTTTAGAGCATCAGAAAAAAGTTGCTGAATGTGACACTAATATGTTCATTTTCTTTCCCATCCAGTGCAGGATGATCTTTACATTTCTTTGAAAGATTCTACTTGCTGGGCTTATTTGATAGATTATTTCTCAACTGACGAAACTGGAAGAAATATTTCAAGAATCATCTTTAAAATTTGATTTCAGGTGATTTATTGGGATTTATGGTTCTATATCTGTAAGAAGATAGTACAAGTGTTTTGAAACAGACCTTTCACAAAAGGCAAATTCCAAAGTTTGTTACTAATACTTTTATCGAAATCCACTGAGACTCTGGAATTCCTTCTATGGGCAGTGGGAGGAGTGAGAATAGGTTAATGACTAATCAGTTTCCAGCACATCCACAACCTTGTGAGAGATATCGATTTCTCTGCTCTCGCTGGAGAATATGATCTAAAAAGAAGTGACTCATGGAGGAGATAAGTGTGCTCAGGCTTTGTGGCCTAGGGAGGGACAGGAAGAGGGGGCCTTTTAGCAAGCTTAAGTGGATAATTCAGATACCTTGAGTTTTAATT